ATTTGCCCCCAATGCACTTTTCACTTTCATCGTTTATGATTATTTCTTAGGCCTTTTATTTATAATGAATCTTTCGGAAGAACTGTTGGACGTAAAAGTTTCCTTTTTAAAGAAAAGAATTGCATTTACAAGTATTTAACATAAATGTTTGTGATGCAACCAAATGTATATTCTTCATTACTAACATGGATTTTGTTTGTTTAGCGGCATTAAATGGCCCGTAATATGGGCCATTTAATGCCGAAATTTAATTTTCTTGGGAGCAGTAGTAATTTTTGTTACAAAAATATATATTGCGCTCTCTCTCTCTCTCTCTCTCTCTCTATATATATATATATATATATATATATATATATATACACCCAAGTATAGGATTGGTTTATACGGAATAAATTCCAATAACCAAAAAATACTCTTCTTAAAAGAGTGTTCAATACAGAGTAGAGCAAATATAATTTATTCGAAAATTATAACATAAATATGTTATAAAATGACTATAAAAATGGCCATTTTGTTTCAACACTTTTTGTGTCTTATCAAGTGATGGTGTTGAATGTAGAAACTTTCTATATTCAAAATAGCAGCAATATATATATATATATATATATATATATATATATATATATATAATTGCTGCTATTTTTATTTTTTAAAAACATTATACTTTCAATTTGCCCATAGCTGGGACCCTAAGAGGTGCTACCACTCTAGGTGGGGGTGAACCTGGGAACAAGCGCAATTAAGAGGTGGCCTCACGCTTCTTAAAACTTCCCGATCAGCGGCCTTGCTGTCGGATGTAGTTTATCTTCATACCCAGGACGGGCTAACATAAAGACATTAAAGAAAACTTATGTACGTGGGTGAATTATGATGTAAGCAATCATGACATGCCAAGGACAAAATTACAAGAAGACTCTCCATATGACTGAGTGTTGATCAGTTTTGCACGTTATGTTAACGTAAATTTGTTTAATTGGTAAAATGCGAAACCATTTCCTCTGTTCAGCTGTTCACCAGAGTACACACATTAATTCTCTTACATACAAGTACACATCTCCGTGTTAACTCTTGTAGCCCATCCATGCACTAGTCATTGAACTTTATATAAATAGATATTTATTTTTGTTTGTTCCTACAATTGCAGCTTCCGATTACAATTCTATCTCTCTCTCTCTCTCTCTCTCTCTCTCTCTCTCTCTCTCTGTGTGTCTCTTTCGTTCTTTCTCTTTCCCTCTCTCTTCCTCTCTATGGCAAAGATATTTTTTTTGTGAAAGAACTCCCTCATCCCCGTCGACCTCGCTGTCAATACTTAGAAAATTCTTCAGTGCCTGGGGCAACTCCTTCCCTTGGGCCACTTGTCCCGACGCTAAATGAAAACAGATCTTATCAGAACCCGTTAGAAACCGGATTTCGCGACTAACTCCTAGCTGTGTCCGTCCAGCAAGAGAATAAAAAAAAAAAGGAATGCAAAATACAAAACAGAAAATAAATGAAGAAAAAAGGGGAAATCTTAAATCGAAACAGAAAAGTGAAATTGGAAAAATGATTTCGGGGAGGAATAAAATTGAAAGAAAGAAAAGAAAACTATGTTTATACTTTTGTCACAAAAGCGATTTTGAATGTAAGCTTCGCACTATTGTATATGTGCTGTGTTCCTCCAGGTGTTAGGCAATCATAGCTCTCCACAACATCCTGCCATTTCTAGCACCTAGTAAGTTCTTTTTCTCTTCTAATCTCTGGTTTTCATTATAAACGTTGCCTTCTATATATCCTTCTATGGGTGTCAATTTCTCCGAGCCCTCTCTTCGCATTATATACTCTAGAAATGTCAACTATCTGATTCTAAGTATCGTTTTGTTTCCATTTTCCCGAAAACTTCATTGTAGCTCAGATGTTCAGACTATGGAATTTTCAGAATCCTTCTGAAGTTACAATTTTCTGTTGCCTCAAATCTCTTTATCTGTGAGGAAATTGTCCAGCATTCAATGTCGTATGAGATGACAGCTATTACATAACAGATCAACACTCTTTTCTTTCTTTCTATCGAATGTTTCCTGTTTCTTTTTAATAATAAACGATTTAAGAAACAGCAGATATTTTTACATCTTGTGCTCAATATTAAAAATAATAAATAATATTAAAAAAGAGCGTTAATTTTATTATATGAAAAGATTACATAAATTTAAATGTCGATTTTTATCTCGACATCGATGTTTCTTGGTAAACTTCTTGGTAAATTTCCAGTCTTAAGGGGTTTCTGGTTTTAAATGTTATTTCCATTTTTTTTTTTTTTCAAGGTAAAATTCACGAAATTTTGGTTGCAACATCTTACGTATAAGCTTCATGTAACGATTTCCAAACGTTAATGGCTGAAAGAAATCAATCAGATTTCACCATTTTTAGATTCATCTTGGAGAAGGCACTTTGACTTTTTCATTCATCATGGCTGGAATAATCGATAATTCAAATTCTATAATATATTTCGCATAAAAATACACTTCCATACATCGAATAAAGAAATATTTGCAAATTAAATACCCGTCCTGGATAAGACGATAAACTACATCCGCGTCCTGAGTAAGACGATAAACTACGTCCAGCAGCAAGGCTTCTGATCAGGAGGCTTTGAAGAACGTGGAACCACCACTTAATTGCTGATGTTCCCCAAGACCACCCCGGGTCAGGGTGGTAGCAGCTGTTAGGGGCCCAGCTATGGGCAAATACAGTGTAACCCGGATATAAGAGAATTGTCGGGACCGGAGAAGAAGTCTCTTATATCCGGGTTTGGTCTATTTTGTTTAGGTTAGTATTGGAATACTTTGGGACCAGAGAAAATCTCTCTTATATCCGGGTTTCTCTTATATCCGGGTCTCTTATATCCGGGTTACACTGTAGGTAACTCCCAGTCAATGAAAATGTAAAAATATGTTTTAATACCAGCAATACGTTTTTGCAAAAAAATTACCAGCAATAAATTTTTGAAGAAAAAAAATTATTACCAGCAATACATTTTTTAAAAAATAACAGCAATAAAAATCTTGCCGACATTAAATAACCTATTGAGTCTGACATGACGTAAAATAAAACAAACCAAACCAAACAAATTCAAGTACGTTTCATTTTAAACATCTACCGTTCAATCCTTTTACTTATTCTTCAAATCGTAAGATAGTTTTTGACTTGGTTTAAATTTCTCTGTCAGTCGCAATAACCAGTTGTTTTACACATGTAACCGTTATTTGTGTTCACGCAAAAATGAACTCTATAAAACAACAAACAAATAAACAATAAACAGGCTGATCCCCGCTTCTACCAAGCTTTCGTTTAGCGATTGTACTTGAACATGTCAGCCTTCACTTGAGTGCCTTTATCATGCACGTGTGATAGCGTGCTCGGAAACAGACGCTTGAGCTTGGACCAATGGGTCTTCAGTAAGAATATTCTCAAGAGCTGCAGGAAATACACGTGCAAGTTGAACTCTCCATGCAAAAAATAGTGATTTTTACTTTTTTTTTTTTTTAATTCTTAAGACATTTTCTTTTCTATAACTCAAATAATAATTTTAATTCCCCCACACAAATTCTTTGTATTCTCAACCGATTTTCCTGCACTCCCCATAACGAAAACCCGACTTTCTATCCTCCCTATAACGTAAATCCGTTTTTCTGTCCTCCCTATAATTCAAATCCGTCTTTATTTTCTTTGTATAATGCAGATCCGTATTTATGTTCTCTCTATAACTAAAATCCGTATTTATGTTCTCCCTATAACGCAAATCCGTGTCTTTTCCTCCCTAAAACCTAAATTCGTCTTTTTCTCCTCCCTAAAACCTAAATTCGTCTTTTTCTCTTCCCTATAACCTAAATTCGTCTTTTTCTCCTCCCTATAACCTAAATTCGTCTTTTTCTCCTCCCTATAACCCAAATCCGTCTTTATGTCCTTCCTATAACGCAAATCCGTCTTTTTGTCCTCCCAAGATGGCAAATCCGCTTTCCTGTCCTTCCGAAAACGCAAGTCATTTTTTTTTTTAAACATTTAAATTTTTTCATTCGGGTGTTGGCTGTGTTGAACACAGTCAAAATCTCTGCCTCTACTTTTGAGAATCCACTTTTCGATGCGGAATATTTGCTTATGTACGATAGGTTTAGCCTTTCTGTGCGTACGAATAGGGCGCATATTGTTAAATGATATGATAAATCTATCGAGCAGCAGCCTTCAGTGCATAACTTTAAACATAGAAGCGAAATTGAAATGTGGGCGAATGGACGTCATCACATACTTTGACATAAAATTTATAGAATTTTCAGATTCAATCCTTTTTGGGTTTTAGATTTTATAAAATACTTGATTGATCATGAAATGCAAAAATGTACCTCGCTCCCATCACTACTCAAAACATATTCCCCATTATGAATATTTGACTTTGTATTCAAGATTAACTGAGATATTTTTCGGATTTTCTTAATTCATTTGTTTTTGCCGTGGATGTGTGGATGGTGCAATGACTAGAAACTTCGAATGAGAAAACTGAGAGCAGATTTCGAATTCCAGTCGGGTTTGTTGCATTCACTTGCACGCAATTGCCCTTGCGAAAAATTGCAATCATCTCCACTCCATGTTAAATAGGACATATCTGGATATAAAAAAGAAAACATTGTTATTTCGCAAAAAATTTTGATGCAGTTGTTAATGGAATATTCACTCTCAAAATTAATAATTATCATTATATATGTTTCGGCATTTATAACCCAGAAAGGGTTGATCAACCGTAAAAAAATAATTCATTAGTTTTAGACATTATTATAATTTACTGAGACAATAATAGAGCATTTTTTATTGTAAATGTTTAATTTTAAATATATTTATTATAAATATAATAAATAGATATGTAATAACTAATTATATGATAAATATAATTATTTCTATGTATAATAGAAATGGTAGATATAAATGTGGAGGCACGGTGGTTAGCGGCTCGGATTGAGGAATCGGAGAACCGAGTTCGAATTCCAGTCGAATCCATTACATTCACTTACGTGCTAATAGCATGGTATAGGTAAATAGCAGGGCAGATCGGATTCTATAGCCTTGGATGGCAACTAGTCTACCGCAGAAAGAAATGGCAACTTACTGCGGGGGAAAAAAAACTTCTTCGTCAGTCATATATCGAGAGATACATGATCGTCTAAGCGTGTATCACTCGTGGCACATAACTGAGATATGAATGTAGCACTTCTGTTTCTGCTTTATTGATGGATTCCGTAATTTTTTTGTCTTCCCTCTTCACCTTCAGTTCTTGATAAAGAATAAAAAAAGAAAGTCACTTAGACAGGATTGAAAAAAGCAACAATAAACGTATATCATAAGACTACATCTCCGCCATCTTTACAAATATATGCGCCACTTTTATTATGACTTCTGCTGCCACGCTTTGTATATTATGTTTTCGGTTCCCGAGTTTTTGAATATGTATTTTCTAATATTATCTTCCTTTTTTTTTAATCTTTCTCTCTAAGACACACACATAACTATTACACACCTTCTCCGTCGTTCACTTCCTTTTTCTCTCCCTCTATATTTTTCTTCATTTCCCCTCTTTTCAAACTCGCTTATACTCCCTCTATTTTCCTCGCTTTCACGAAATGGCAGTCCTTAAAATGTCTGGTACAGTTCTTTGGACCGATCCCATACGGCTGCCAACTCCCGCCAGCCTTTCCGATGTCACTAAATTAGTTTCATGTCAAAACATTTGCATCCTCTCGGATTTTCTAAGCACCCCCATTCCACCGCGGCCCTTCACAACCTCTGTTTTTAACGTCACCGGCCATATGCATACAGGGTTTCTCTAGCAGCCCAGTCATTGCCTGACAACATTAGGCCACTGCTGGCTGAACTGCCGGAAGCTATGTGAAAAAGCTCCTTCACTCTCTTAAAACACAAGTTCAAGTGCTTTCACGTCGAGAACCCACACAACGTTATTACCTTGGGGGTTGTCCCTTGAGAGACCCACCCTTGCTTTTACTTCGAACACCTTCTACCCGCTCCTGGCAATGCTAACTTTAATCAAATAAATAAATAAAATATTAGCACCAACAATGATAATGCAGTGCCAGCAATAATAGGCACCTTACTTTTTCTTTCTTCATAGAAATATTACGAGAGGTGATACAAACGCAGTGGTTATGATTTACCTGTTCAAAACGATTCTCTGTGAGAGTCTGCAAAATTTTACTAGGTAGAAACTGAAAGGATTTGGAATTGCCTCGGGTTGAAGCGAAGCAAGACGAGGAAGAGACGGAAGAGAAATATCTAAACAGATGCCTCAAGGCATATGTGACGTTTAATTCAAGGGGAAAAGTGGTCAGTGGAAAAAA